CCTGGGGGGGGGGGCGGGCGTTACCTCCACCACAGGGTCTGTGGAATATTCCTTCAGGAGCTCCAAGACCTCTGGGTCCCCGATGGCCCCCAGCGCCTCCCCTGGGAAGAAGCAGAGAGCCAGCATGGGGGGGGAGGTGAGACGCTGACGGCCCACCCGAAGCTCCCCCAAGCCCCCACCAAGGGATCCCACCTCTGGCCACAGCTGATGAGAGCAGCCGCGGGACACAGGCTCTAAGGTGGGCCACTCAGCACCCCAGAGCGGGACCTGGCCGAGAATCCCTGCAGAGCAAACCTGACCCTATGGCACCGGCGCCCCAGCCGGGGAGACAGGGATGCCATTACAGCTCAGGGACACGGGGACGAGGCACGCCAAGAACATCCGGGCGAGTCAAGCCTCGCAGGGAGTGCCCCTGGAGGAGGAGGGCTTCAGCTGCCGAGAGGGAGGAGGCTGAGGGGACCGGGGCAGGGCTGGGCGGTGAGGCCCCTGGGCACGAGGGGCAGCCAATGCCCAGTCCCTGGGGCAGGGGTGGCGTAGTGGGGGTCGTGCAGTGGGGGTCAGAGGCAGGCAAGCTGGGTCGAAGGACCATCCTGTGATACAGGCCAGCAGGTACTGGCCCGCAGGGGCCTCGGGCCACATGGGGAGCATGGCCATTTTCTATTAAGCACAGATGGGGGCTGAGGGGGTGGGGACCTGAGAATGCGGGAAATGCCCTTCAGCAAGCTCAGAGTCCAGACCCAGCTGGAAATCAGGACCATCCTAGCAGACCCCAACTTGATTCAGGCTCCGTCCCTCCTCGGCCTGCAGCCCTCCATGGCTCCCACCTTCCTCGGGGTCAAAGCCCAAGTCTTCCCTGTGGCCCACCAGGCCCTGCACGACCCACCCCACCCTCTCCCTACTTCCCTCCCTCCCTCTGCCCCAGCCACACGGGCCTCCTAGCTGAGCCTCTAACACACCAGGCGCAGTCTTGTCCCAGGGCCTTTGACCAGGCTGTGCTCTCTGCCCGGAACACCCTTCCCATAGACATCTGCCCAGAGAACTCCCTGATTTCATTCAGGCCTATTTAATAATTAAAAACCACAACACTGCCGGGCTTGGTGGCTCAGCCTGTAATCCCGCGCCTTTGGGAGGCTGAGGTGAGTGGACTGCCTGAGCCCAAGGGCCGCCTGGGCAACTTGGCGAGACCTCATCTCTGCAATAAATCAAAAAATTAGCCGGGCATGGTAGCGCTCGCCTGTAGTTCCAGCTGCTTGGAAGGCTGAGGCGGAAGGATCACTGGAGCCCGCAGGTAGAGGCTGCGGTGGCCGGGAGCGGCCACTGCACTCCAGTCTGGGCGACAGAGTG